GCAGTTGGCAGCACAGGCTGGGGAGGAGATAACTGAGAGCAGGGAAAGGATGAGTTAGAGATTACTTGTAGAAGCTGGATGATTTTGAGTCAGCAAGGTCAGATGACAATGTACCCTAGAGTACTCAGGGAATTGACTGAGGTAATTGCAGAGCCAACAGCTATTTTCTTTGAGAACTTGTAGAGGTTAGGTGAGGTTTTTGACAACCAGAAGACGACAAATACAGGGTTCATTTTTAAGAAAGGGAAGGAGGAGAACTGAGAGAATTACAGACCAGTCGATCTGACTAAATACGTGGAAAAATTATAGCAGTATCAAGGAATTGACTTCTAAGCACCTGGAGAAGATCAAGATAATCGGGAACAGCCAACATAAATCCATCAAAAGCAACTCATGCTTGACTGACCTGATTTCCTTATACAGCAAGCTGAAGGACTTTGTGGATGTGATATGCCTTGACTTTAGCAAGGCTTTCAACACTGTTTCCCATGACACTCTCATTAGTAAATTAAGGAAAGACAACCCAGATCAGTGATTCTCAAACAGAGTGCCACAGTATCCTGGGATGGCTCAAGTTCCTTTCAAGAGTGCCATGGGTTGCCACACAGTGTTAGTACTGTTACGTGTGCAAACATGATCCACAAGACAAACTTCGAGATTTCGAATAGGAATCCATTCAGTGTTAAAACCATTCTGACTTGTTGATATCTCCATGAGTTCTTTGCAACAGAAGAATTACTCTATTATTTTTTGTAATTAAAAAATGAATGAAAAATAAGAGCTGGCATTGTCCAACAGGTGATCTGAGTCTAACTACGGGTGCCTTGAGTCTTAAAAGGTTAAGAACCACCGATATAGATGAAAATACTGTAAGATAGATATGTAACTGATTGGATCATGATGCTCAAAGAACAGTCATCAATGGCTCAATGTATAATTGAGAGTTCATAACAAATGGGATTTCTCAGGAGCCTGTCACGGACCTGGTATTGTTTAATACCTTAAATAATGATTTGAGGGATGATATTAAATGCAAAGATAACAAATTTATGTTACTTATGGGAAAATGGTCTGAAATCAATCAAATGAAATTCAGTGAGGACAAGCGTTCCATCCTAAGTTAAGGACTTTGCAATCACATGTACAAATACACACTTGGGAAGCACCTGGCTACATTACAGTACTGCAGAAAAGGAGCTAGTGTTTATAGTTTACCAAAGACTGAGTATGAGCCATCAGTGTGCCCTTGTTGCAAAAAAAGGCAGTATTATATTGGGTGTATTAATAGGACTGTTACTTGAAAGTCAAAAGTGATTCTTCTACACTATTCAGTCTGAGAGCGGTTTTCCCTGGAAACATAAATTCAGTTTTGTGCACCATGCTTCAAGAAACATATGGACAAACTTTTAGAAAGGATCTAAAGGACAGCAACAAAAATAATTAGAAGTTTCAGAAATGTGACTTGACCAAAAATAGTGGAAGAAGTAGGATTTTTTAGCTTGGAGGACACAACACTGAGAGGGGATTTGATTTTTCACATACCTGAAGAGAATTTATAAAAAGGCTGATAACTATTTGGTCTGGGTGCAGGGGAGAGAACAATGGAAATTTAGGTTGGATGTTTGAGGGTAACTATGAGGGCAGTTAAACATGAAAAAAGGCTACCTAGGGAAGTTGTGGAATCTCTAGTCTTAATTTTTTTAAGAACAGGGATGATCCTACCTTCAGCAGGGTCTTGCATTAGATGACTTTTTGAGGTCCTTTCCAGTCCTACTTTTCTATGATTCTATAATATCTAAAAACCAGTCCACTTTTGTATCACACAACAACCACTGAGATTAGCTGTAGTTTCTTATGTCAAAGGAGAGAGCAAGCAATCTTGATGAAGAGTCTTTGACTTGGATTCTCCTTCACTCCTGGTTGGACAGAGACTACACTGGTTGATTTACTGGCTACACTGCAAAGTTTATCTTTTTACCGAAGTTTTAATAAGCAGGAGATTGATAGCTTAGATTTTATATTTTGGGGCTGGAGAGTTTTTAAGCAGGCATGGTAGCACCTTTGATTTTATTAAACGCTTTTTTTCTGCATTGATCAGGAGCCTGAGATTGTTGGTTTTGATTACATAAAAGTCTCACTTCAGACAGCTATACATACATTAACAAGTATCAAGAGGGTTTTTAAAATCTGTGTTTAATATGACCCTTTCCTTTCCTAGAGGGAGAAAACAGAGTATATTTTGCTTCCCTTTGTTTTCAGCACATGCTGTCCTACACAAATAAAACCCATAGTTATAGAATCCACTGTCAAACTGACTAGGAAGAAAAAAATATTTGGTACAGTTTTCATTTATGCAGTTACTCTTGAGCTGGCAGTAGTTGAAATCTAAATTTACAGTACATCACAAAGGAAAATTACAGTGATGTCTTTCCCCCAAACGTAATTTATGCATATCAAAAAAAAGTATTACTGGCTTTGATAGCAGGACCTCTGATCCGTCTTCATACAGCAGATAGAAATGTGTCCCCTATACGGTAATGACCAGGAAATACTGCATTTGATGCTCTAGTTGGTTAAATGTCTCAGCTTTACTATAACCAATTAAAAGAGAATAGCCATAAAAGTGCAGATACTACCGTAGGGTAATAAACTAGACCTTATCGGTGCCAGTGGTGCACATTACAAACTTCAAACTCATTCCTTGTTCTAATCCATCAGAAACTTCCTGGCTTTACTAGGCTATAAATGGAAGAAGCTTTGAAGTCCAAGGATTAGGATCACTAACAGGCAGACTGAATGAGAGACTAAGTAGAGCCAAGGCCCGCTGCTCCAGCAAATAGCCAGGTGGAACACACTGCATGGGTCTGAATTAAAACAAATTAATTTAATCAAACTGCCCTCTCCTGGGCTGCAGTCCAGGAGATTACATGGGTTATCAAAGCATGAAAAATAAATAGATGTAGAGGGAGAACTAAGAGCAACAGAAGAAACAAACAATTCTTCTGCAGTGCAACCCTAGTTATAACATAAGCATACAGCAGCCAAGGCTCTTAAATGGGACACAGATCTATTTCTGGGAGGCAAAAGACCCAAAGCTTTTGGAACAATGACTTATGATTCAACAATATCTGAGCAAAATTCAGGGAGAGAACATGAATATGCATGCAAAATAAATGTTCAGCTCTAAGATTACTAAAGATGAATTATTAATAGAAAAAATTGTTCAAATTAGTTGCTTGTTTCAATTTTTCCTGTAAAGCTTAGATGAAGGATTATATGGAAACAATCTATTTGGGTCAAATAGTTTCAGTGGTATGCACTGGATGTCTGTGTAAAGTTAATGCCATTGAAGAATTAGCTCAGTTTTGCATTTCAAATATGCCTTCAATGAAAAAATCCTCTTATACAACACAATCAGCTCGTCTAATTCTGTGCAATGTTTTCCATCTTGAAAGATTAAAAAATACTATCATCCACACCTAGATGCAAGAATCGTTTCAGTTATCACTGCTCTACAGCCATAGTATGGTTGTTTAGCACAGAAGTACTACACAACAGTTTGAGACAAGATACGTATGTTTAATACAATTTAAACTAGAACAAGTCTCCAGAATAAATAATGGGTCCCAACAAAGCCTGAGTTTTGCAAAAATGCAACAGGATCTTAAGCCATGTGATGATTAATGCAATTTAACGTTTTATCTAATTTATTTATGTGAGTTGCTTTGTATCATAGCTTTTATCAAGCTATACACAAAACAATATTTTGCTAATAAAAGCTACTAAGCTAAAAGCTAATAAAATCCACATTCAAAGTACTTTGCATGTACAGTACCTCAGTACACCTTTGCTAGCAAAGCACCCATAGACATGGCCTCAGACACTGGAATTCAGAGCTTAATTCAGAGCTCAACACCAGGGATTTCATACATTAATTGAGGCTGAGAAGAAGAGAACAAATAATCCAGTGGAGAAATGAATGGAAAACAAGACTTTGCAAGAAAATAGGAGGCGGAAAATAGAAAGATATTAAATACTAAATAAGGAAAGATACCATTTGGGGCTGTCCTGCTTTTTGAAGCAGATGGTTATTCTCTCTCCAATTCTGTGAACAAGCTTCTGTTTAATATCTTTTTGGAACTGAATCTCCCCTGAAAAAGCACTGTGGTTTTAAACCATCTAAAAAGGATTCACAGGCACACATTAATTTTACAAATCCATGAATTAAAAAACAAAACTTATTTTCAAAAATCCTCTAGACTTCATAAGTTTAGCTCATCAACGGTATAAATGGCATGTGTGTTTGAAATAAAAAAATAAACATTTAAATAAAGAGACTTTACATCTTCTTATTGGGACAGTTCCAGAGTTTTCACATTACATCCAAGTGTCCTAACAACTTCTTTCAGGACATCCAAAACACCTCAAACTTTCATTTAATCAGTCAAAACGTGCTTATTTTATAACCACAACATATTTCAGATATGTTGCTGCATCAAACCAAATTTGTTCTGTTTACCAAGAACAAACAGTTTAGTGGCATGAGCTGTTCACTGTAATGAGCAGTGTCTAATAAGAGAGGATGAATGAGTGCGAACACATCGAACCTGTTTTTCTCCACCTTCAAAATGTGTTAATGACGCTTGTTCAGTGTTTTACAGTTATTAGAAAAACTCCTCCACTCAAACTGCATGTGGTACACTTCTGAGTAAGAGGCCAACACTAAGGACACAAGCACAATTTTCTATTTCATTATGCAAACCTTGGCTTTTTTTTTTTTTTTTTTTTTACTTTGCTACTTCAAAAAATGTCACAGACAAGTCACAGTTTTTTGGTTAAAAATATAATGATATGAAATAGCTTTAAAACATATTTAAAAGTTCACAGAATAGAGATGAATAGAGATTATTTTGCACCAGGTGTAGAGCAAGTGAAATGCCACCACCATGCCAACATGTACTACCCACCTTCCAACATCCATGTTGAATGATGGATCTTACCTTCTGGTGGATTCTTATTTTGGTTGTTCCAGACAACCAGCAACTTGGATAGACTAGGCACCTTGGACACTTCAGTGATGACTCGGAAGAGACTCTCCACCCGGTCGTAAGTCAATACTATAGCTGTGAAGCCTTGAGACTGTGGTGGGATCAATGGAAGGAAGAGTGGGTTGCTCACACTGCTCCATTTCTATAAAACAAAAGAGGATGAGGGATCAAATCAAGGTTAATTAATACAGAAAAGGGAAGATTTAAGCAATCAGAATATAATCACCCAAGTTGGTATTTGGCCAAGTTAGGCCTGTTGAGCTAATAGAACAATTCATGGGAAAGTGGCCTTTAAAAAACAAAACAAAAAAACAACTTTTTCATGATTCACAATGCCTTGAAACTTGCATCCCAATCCCTTTCCTAATGTTGATTCCTGTCACTGTTTAACAATAACTGTGTAAGCATGGATGAGCTTCAGAAAAAGTGAAGAATTGATGGCAAGCCTTGTGGGGGAAGGGATATTAGGGAGACACTTTAAACTTAGCTACCATGGCCTGATTCTCATTTGCTAATTGCTGCTGAGGTTTTTTTTTTTTTTATATAACCAGACTTGGCCAAAAAGCAGACAGCCAACTTAGCGCCACAACTTCAGAGGGGAAATGGGAGTAAAAAGCAGCAAATACATAATCCTGACACAAAATGGGCACACAAATAAAAAAGCAAATGCTGACACCAAAATACAGTGGGATAAAATATTAACTTCAACAAAACTTGGTTTGTTTTATGGAGGGGGAAAAAAAACCATTACAGCATTGAAGAAAAAATCTGTAAGACGCAAAGATTGATTTCAGAGAGTTATTTACTCCATCTGAATTTTAAGTAGGGCATCCCTTTTAAGGCTTTAAAGGTCTTATTTCAATGAACTGCCAGCATAAGGAAGCCAGCTCAACTGGCAAGAAACAAGACAGACTATTCAGTTCTCACTGAGTGTGCCAACCTCATTTGGAGGTGAAGATGTGAGGGAAGGAAAGAGTGAAGAAACCATTAGATGGGAAAGAAACAGCAGACATTTCATTTCTAATCATTTTCATTCCAGCCTGCTGTCCAGGCACAGACAGCAGGGCAGGACAGGGAAACAGAGGAGAAAACAATTATTTATTTATTTATTTTGCAGTAGCAGGAAAGGTTTGGAAGTTGGGAAAACTGTAGCTGACACTGTTTCTCAGGAAAGCTTTTGAATCCTGCCCACAAAGAACTAGGGGTGCATATAATAGTGTAGAAACGCTACCCAGTCACTGCCAATGTTTTCCAGCAAACGCCATAAAAAATACCAGTTAAACACGTACCAGAATTCTGCCTGTACAGGGAGAAAAACAAATGTTATGGACTCAAAGTTATCAGCTCAAGTTTGTTGGATAGAGGTACAGCAACTAGTCATTTCCCTTTGGATTCTTTCTCTTCACACTATAGGCAGCTACCCTCACCATTGCCACCTTGTAACTCATGCCACTTACTGAAATACTCTGTATGACCACCTAGGGTGAAGAGGAGAACAGCAAAACAATTATACTAGAGGAGCCTAAAAAAGCTTGACTTGCTCACTGTAGCCAAAAAAAAGATTGAGAGATGATGTGACTACTTTCTGTACATACATCAGGGGGGAAAGGAAACTCTAGAGATGGAGAAAAACTGTTTAAGCTGAAAGACAATATTGGCAAAAGAACAAATGGATATAAACTGGCCAAAAGTAAATTTAGACTGATGGTTTCTAACTGTCCAAGGAGTGAAGTTCTGGAACGGTCTTCCAATAGGAGAAATGGAGAAAAAAAGACCTAACTTGTTTTAAGATGAGTTCTCAGTTTATGAGAGCAAATATATTACATAATTGCCTGACAGTAGGAGGTTGGACTTGCTCACCCAGGATGCCCATCAAATCCTACATACAGGCCTATAACAATGTTAACAAGTGACCTGTGCAGGGATATCTGCTTTGAAATGCTCACACTTTAGGAAATGATAGTTTTTAAGCTTATTTTCTTTACTGTGTATTGACAAAACAACCAAATGTGAGAAATGACCCTTGATTTTAAACAATTCCAGGAAGTTGTATGGTGAACTATTCTAGCAGAGCACAGTTCATTCTATTAGGGTTTTTAAACAACCTCTGCTCCCTAAGGTATCAGGATTTTACATATGCTCACTATAGATGTAATGATGAAAAGTCTTCTTTCACAACCCTCACCAATCTCTCTTTATGAATACTTGCAACACAGGTTTAGCTGGATATTAAGCAGAGCCAGGAAAATCTCATGCTTCAGTCAAGAAATAACCAGTAAAGCAATCCTAGAGTTTATAATCTTATTGTTATTTAATAGGGACTATAATGATCCAAATTAAGGGCTCTTGCCTTAAATTGACTCTGCTTAGCATACTTCTTTCTGGTTGTAGTGTATCACAATAGAGGCTGTTAGCCATAAGGCCACTGGTGAGGAATACCACCTCCCAAAGGTATTACTGTGTAACATCCAAGACTGTACAAGTCATTTTAATGGCTAAATCCTTTCTTAAAAGAGCAAGAATAAGAGCAGAAACTTAAGGTTTTAGATGTGATATTATTTAACTCTGAAACTGTTCCTACTATCTGTGCAGGGTATAATATTTAATTGCCAGGATCATCTTAGGGAAACTTGGAAGCTTAGACCCTAATAGGGAAAGAAAACCAAACTCCCTTATTTGAGAGAGACATTTCAAAAGGGCATTTAGGCATCTCCAAAGTGCCATTAGGAACCAACCCCCTGCTGCCTGCCTGAAGAGTGTGTCTACAGTCTGAGACCTCTTGACCCCACTTTCTGCAGGAAATGGAGTAAATTCAAACCTCCATAATTTACTTGAGTCTTCCTGACTTCTGCTAGGGACAGGCAAACAATGCAGGCAATTATCCTAACAGCAACCTAATTAAATCTCTATTACAGCAGCAAGGCATGAAATGGATGGCTCCTCCCCATTTAGTAGCAACTGGTGAAATCAAGAGGTGAGTCAACATTTGTTCCATTCTCATCATTATTAACCCTCCTGATGGAGACCCATATGAACTTTCACTCTCAGAAAGAAGAGCAAGAACTGGCGGAGGAATCATCCATCACTTTCCATGACAAAGTGTTGACATTCAGCTATGGATAAGACAATCCTTGCCCCAAGCCCCCAGCTAATATTCATTACAGGAGCCATGGTAATTAACCCAAGATTGATAGGTTGTTTATTGTGAATCACTTTTATGGGCAAGGAGTATCAGGTTGCAAATGCCAGCTTCTCTAACAGGAATCTCATGTCATTTGGTCTGGCAGTCTCAGTTGTTTGACAACGTTCTCTGCAGACAGAATGAAAAGCCAAAGCACTGGAATCTAGAATGAGAGAGACAGGGATAGGGAGACTGAACTGAAGCTAGTGAAGTGTGAGACTCCTTTAAATAGACATGTCCATGCAAAAAGATTCAAACTACTGCAGCTAGCTTGTGCAGGACTGCCACAATCAACCCCCGCCCCCCACAAAAAAAAAACAAAACAAACACAAAAAAATCCAACTAGCAATGCATTTTTCCTCTTACTGCAGAACCACGAACTATTCTTTCGCTCCTTCCTTACTGAATGAAATACAATTCCATTTTAAGAGCAATTAAGCAATAGGGACAAAGTAATGAGAGCTTTTCAGGCAAGATACTTAAGCCCAAACTTGCCACCAGTTCAAGTGGGACAGAGCAGAGGTGCATTAGGTATCACAAAAATCAATCTTACCAGGATGAAAAACCAGAATATTTGGTATCTGAGAAATCACATCTGTTCCTAATGATCCTATGCACAGTCAATTCCTATAAAAGTTGTAACATTCATATAACAGCAACATGCTACACAGTTAAGACAAGGTGCCAGCCCCAGATGCTTATACTCTAAGTGGACACTATAAAAGTAGGAAGGGAAAATTAAAGGCAATAACCAGTAAGCGCTACGTAATGGTAGTAACATATCTTAATAGTTTCCTAATTTAAAACAAATATATTTCACTTATTTTTCATAGAAAAAGAGACCAACTATGGGCCAACAGAAATAAGTGTGTGGAAAAGAGACTTGAAGAAATAGAAGACAGGATACATTACAAGCTGGAACAGAACGCTGCTGCTTTTAGGACTATGATGCTGGTAAAAGAAGGCCTATATTTTGGTAGAGGAAGCATAATTTCCCACTTACCATTTAGTAGGAAAAACTGGCAAAAACAATGTAGAAAATAAAATTCTGCTGTTTCAAAAACAGGAATAGTAGTTTTCTCCTCCATATATGTTTTATTTTCAATAATCAACAGACTGAGTGCTTGCTAACCAGACATTTTGGCAAAATCATATTTAATTTGAACAAGGACAACCCACTGTCATTTAAAAGCCAAGAGGTGAGGACTACATCATGATGAATTGTACAGTAGCTAAACAGTTCTTCCCTACACCCAAGCAAAGCAGATATGTATTTATCCTTTACCCCCGTGGGGAGGGTTTTTTTGGTTGGGTTGTTTTAAATATCAATCCTAACCTCAATGTGGTTTCAATTATGAATTACCAGACCAAAAGAGCCTTGATTTATTCTATTGCACTCCAATTATACATGATGGGTTTCCAATGAATACTTTAAAAAAGCATTTCATCATGCTTCCCATCCTCAAGTGGTCAAAGGGCAAAACCAGAGGAGTTAACCCTCTCCACTTCTCTGGAGTCAACCGCAGCAATTACATTATGGACCTTAGCTCAACACAAGACCTTCCAAACTGGATGAGCCCACTGCACTGGTCTCTTGAGTTTTGTGCACTGCCTCTATCAGTGGCCTATACTTGATGTTATAGGTAAAAAGCTATCAAATACTTAATCGCAATGCACCCAGGGATTCCTTAGGTGAAATCCTTGCTAATGCCAGATGAAATTGCAGCCCTTAGGCATGAATTTTGATTTCACAGATTTCATAGTAATATTACTAAATACCACTATGATTACTAAAGGACACCACATAGTTACAAATATTAAATCCTGCAGCTGAATCTACATTACTCTCTGAGCTCCTACAACTCTGAATTCCATCAGCTGACCACGATATGAAATATATGTTTAGGCTTTTAGTTTACCCCTCCCTCCTAACTAATATCAACAGTGTGACAAAAGAAGAG